CCTCGTCACACCAAACATGCCAATTTCTGCCTTTGCCTGGTCCCAAGTCCAGGATGAGAAAGGAGGAGGGTTGGGTGCGGGGCTAGCAACTCCACCCCGTAAAACCAGCCTGCTACAAGTAACTGCAATAACAACTTTCCATTGGTGAGGTGTTGTTACGGCCCTATGCTCCACTGGGAGTTTACAGGAATAAAAAAAAATGTGAGTGGAGGTAACATATCGTAAGTTATCATTTTCTTACACTGAAATAGTATTTCTGATAAATATTTACCATCACTTACACTTTCCACCTGTCCTCCTCACTCCTGGTGCAACCTTTTGCCTAATCTTGAAGTGATGAAAGTACTCAATATAGAGGGAGTCAACTGTGCTACGAGGGTGTGTTTGCACTCCTATTGGTGGAGAGTGTCACATGTTTATTTTCATGCTACAGTGCAGCTGTATCACTTGTAAATACGTGAGGGTAGGTGGGAGTATCAAGGCTATTGGCAAGTGAAAATTGTGCATACAGAGGGTAGCACAAGTCGAGGAAAGCTATTATGTGAGAAGAGGTAAATATCTATATAGAATACAGAAACAGTTAAGTTACAGGAAAGTCTGTACCAGTGAGTGAATATTCTAATGTTATCATTTTCCAGCACTGAAAATGTATTTCCAATAGATATTTACCTCCTCTCACATAATAGCTTTTCTCAACATGTGCTACCCTCTATATGCACAATTTTCACTTGCCAATATCTATATAGAATACAGAAAGGACAATCCATGTATGTCTTATAATAACTATACTTAGCCAGTGGCAATGTTATTGACCTCTAATTAATGGTAACATTTTTGATGTTTTTTGGTGATAAGGTATTTGTCTTCTATCTGGAAGTGATGTAACTTTTATGTCTGTAATAATATTTTTACTTCAGTGGTTTTGAAACCTATATACAAGGTGTCCAAAAAGTCTGGTACCATAGGCACATCAGTGAGTTTTACAGAATGTGTTTCACGTGTTGTTCGTATAATTCAAAACAAGTTTGGATTAACTTGACCTTCCCATGCTTTGACAGCACCATAATCAATCATGTATCTGAAATTAAGAAAAACTGCAATCACCTATGGTTCCAGACTTTTCAGACACCCTGTACTGTGAAGTGTGCACTGTAAATCAAACTGTGTTACTGTATACTAGTTCGTTTTACCTGTTAATTATCGGTTCACTGAAAAACGGACAACACTGTAAAATGATGACAAATATGTCACTAAATGTCCTTCTTACACAACACAAGAGACTACTTACCAGGATGAATGACAAACATATCACTAAATGCCCTACCACACAAAAGACTGCAACCCACTATGATTGAAAAACATAACACTGAAGACCCTTTTATTCCAACAGATTAAAATTCATTGTGAGTAACAAATATAAAACTTATCAGAACTGTCCTTTTAATTCTTAAAAGGTAAACATCTTTACTACTGAGATTTTTCAAGTAATATTAAAATATTTATAACACAGCTTTGTATGTGTTTCAGAATAAATAACCATAAGTCATTTTCTTTTATATTATAGCTTTTTAGTTAAATTTTATTTAATTAAAAATGGAGTCTGATAAACTACCAAATCAAACAGTATTTTGTAGTGAATTATTTTTAACCTTAGGTCTGATCAAGGCCAAATGGTTAGTGTATCAGACTGAGAATCTGAAGTTCTTTGGTTTAAGATATATTGTTACAAAACGTGTTACATTTTCATCTGTGTGTGTGTGTTAAAACAGTGATAGTCAGTCTTACTATTAGGTTAAGAGTTTCTGCTGTTACTAGCAGGTATTGTAATTTGGTTGCCTTCTC